CCGGATATTTTTGTATAATACGGTATTAGGATACTACTTCAGCTGTTGTGGCCTCTTGAACTAGTACCATAGAGAATAGTGGGCATATACTGTACCCTATTAGCTATAATTTGTATGTAGTTTTCGTGTACTGTACCCTATTAGTTATAATTTGTATGTAGTTTTCATGCACTGTACCCTATTAGTTATAAAACTTATTTTCAAAGACTAAATATTGTAAAATATTAACATTCTATTCACTATAAAATATTTACGTAAGAAATCTCTTACACTTACTTGTTTTTATTTTAAACATAATTCGCCCTTCAGATAGTATTAAGAGTGGGATTTATGTACAGTGTCTTTTACTCACATTCCTACTTCAGCGCAAAGCAGGAAGTTCATGATGAACATCAGACAACGACTCTTTTGATTTTATAAATTGTTGCTGTTCATAGTTCACTACAGCCTTATTTTTTATGCCTAATGCTGAACGTCGTCTTTACGTTCACCTGCTAATGTGTATGTATATATATATATATATATCGTATACACATTGACATGTACTGTTACTTCACATAGAAACCGTTAAAACTACGCCTTATTACATAAGCTAACGTGCGTTTAACCTCTTCTCAAAGGTTGCGTACAAAGCTGTATAAAAGTTGATTTTTGTTGTTGTTGTTGTTAACATTATCATCCATATATAGCTCCAGCGTCGTTTATAAGAAAATTAAGTTTTGTGTACTGCTAAAATGATTAAACAAAGTAGGAAAATAATATTGAATTTCCAGAAAATATGTACAATAATGACGAAGTAGTTATTTGTAAAATCCACAATAGAGCAGGTTAGGGAAAGAGGTTTATGTCAGAAATTCTCAGTCAACATGGAAATGGTAATATTATTTTAACACTGAAGTCTAGCATCTCAATTAAAAAACAACAACACCACATTAAAATTAACTATAAAGATTAGCAAATCGAATCCCAATTGTTTGGAACCAATGTGCACTGTTGCTTCGTTACTTTTGTATAATTGGAAGTTCGGTCGTTTTTAGTTGAATGAAATATTAAATCTAACTAAAGTAAAATCTCCAGAACTTGTCAAAGTTAACTATTAGAAAACACAATTACACGATAAATGTCCATCCAAAGGCTTGTGTGTAAATGTATTAAATAAACAGTTTGTTTTTACTCACATTATTTACATATTGAAAACTAATTTTATTTTGCCTAAATATATGTTTTTTTTTACTCTTTTATAACATCATAAATTGGAGTCAGATTTAGTCTTTTATTAAACGTATATTTATGAAGTTGAGAAGACTGTGTGTTCAGATCTTTAATAAAGTGTTATATGTATACAAAACTCTACTGTGGATCTCAATGAGGACAGAATTCCTAAAAGAAGCAACGGCGCGACACTTAGTGGCCAATTTAGAAGCAATTGTAATCCATGTGTTTTATCATATAATTACATTCATCATTTTCAGATTACCTTATAAATGTTAATTTGGTAATCTTCATTAGGTTATCACCATTAGGAAGTCACAACGCACTCCATTCTTCCACAACGTCATCAGCCATATTCGTCTAAACTAGTTAACAGAAATAGCTCCAGGAGAACACGACTTTCTTTCAGAAGGACCTTAAAACAACAAGACAGCGAATGTTTAATGAAATGAACAAGACCAACTAAAAGCTCCCTCGGATCTCAGCCACGTAAAGAATAGAGTTGGAAGACGTCTGTAACGGCTACAGAGTGAAGCTTTCGTACTAAGATAAATGTAATTATGACGTAAACACAGTAGATCTGTAACAAAACCTGTATTAACTGATTAAGTATGATTATCATAAGTTAAGTCCCGACATAAGAAAGGTAAGTAAAAGAACAACAAAACTTTGATACTTTGTTACAAACGAAACCATATTCAGTAAATATATCTTATTGTTATTAAGTGTGAACTAAACGTGGCATAAATTAAATTTACAGAAACCAACACTGCACTCAACCGAAACATCATTAGTTATAATTTGTATGTAGTTTAAGGTACAGTACATGGAAACTACATAC